TTCAGCGGGTGTTGTTATCGTCCCTTGGGACTCAATTCCCTAGTGCACGCAGGTGACGACACTCCCACTTTCTCATTATATTGGTTGATCAGTATGAAAAATTACTAGTGATTGGTCAATATGACACTAACACTGCTTAGTAGCTATTAAATGACCAATCATTATAGCTGTTACATAGTTTTCAAGAATAGTTTGTAGAACTCTACAATAAAGAGCACATTTGTTCAATAGAAAAAATAGTATACAACATATAGAAGCCTACTCACCCCTGTACCAACAATGGAATATCCTAAATTGGTATAATGATAATATACTGTAAAATCATTCATTTTCACTGGAATTTAATATCACTATTTTGACGTTTTGAACAATTTTACTGGATTGTATATTCCCAAATTCACAAGGAAACAATGAGTGCTATTGTTATTTTTTGCAGTTTTACTTATCCGTGAAAACAGCGAAATTAAAAACCAGTGAATATTCAAAGCAAAAAAACTAAAATTCTTCAAAAATGTATTCAGTGAGTATTAAAAACTCTCTCACAATAAATTCACATGATGACCCCCTTCCTCTAGATAGAAGGTGCATATTCATTCCCTTTGCTATAAATCACTCCACAATATGCCTAGCTACAATGCTAGTACTGTAGAATACTTTATTTTAGCTGGAATTAATGTTCGCTGAAAGGACTTTTTGGGTGTTTTGTACAGAATTTATTTTCACTGATTTTTGACGAGTTGAATGTAAAAGATAGAAAAACTGGTATATTCACTGGATTTAATTTTCACTGAATCATTCCTTCAGTGAAAATAGCGCAAATTAATTCTAAGCGAAAATAAAGTAATGTACAGTAATATCTCATGATCCATTCAAATTTATGTAAATGTCTGAAACGTTCTAGTAAAATAAAATACACATTCTTCATACTTTATGTTCTGTGTTTACAATGAAAAGAGAACCACGATGAATTATATTACTAGCATGTTTATACCAGGTACTACTCTACGTAGAAAGATGATCCGATAAACCGATTAATAGATATAAAACCTCACCCATTTATAAAAAATAAGCAATTAAGTATTGTTTATACATGTATACAGAAAAAGATTACAGTGCCAAATCTCAATGTTAAATACTGTAAAAGGGTTAATTATTCACTGGGTTTTAATTTTGCTTATTTCGCTGACTGAAAAAAGCGTTCAATTAAAACCAAGTGAATATGTAAAATTTAGCATAGAATACATTATCTAAATAATAAAACCGTGAATTTAAAACCCACTGAATATGCCTGAAATGGTAAATCAGCGCAATTTAAACCCAGTGAAAATTAGTCATTTCACAGTACCTAATGGTGAAAGGAAATTTACAAAAAAAAAGTTTGCTTTGTTTTCTACACAATTTGTCTTTAAAGCTATGGGTTCTACACAAATTAAGCAATAGGTCACTTTCATAAATCGAGCGCCCTCAAACACTTCCTGTTTCAGAAGAACTGAAAGAGAGGCTAGTAGGTATAGAAACTCCACTGTCTCCATTCGCTGGTTCCGGCGTCCTTTGCGAATGGCAGGTAGGACGCAGGTAACTAGTAATCACCATATTGTTCCATTTGGGCCGGTTTTCCGGCCGGAAGGAACGCGACTGGGTGACATAATTTGAAAACATTCCAAGTTCCGTTCTGCGTAAACGTGTCTGTAATACTACAATAAAGCCATGCTCATACATACTGCCTGCTTAGATTTACAGATGTGATATGTTCTATGCAAATTTATAACAAAAAAAACCAGTTTTTTTTATTCGCCCAACTTTCGAAAGTAAACGGCCACGAGCGTAAGCGCTGACGTCAGGTAACTAGGGGAAATGGAACAAGCAACGAGAAAGTGGTGAACCAATCAGAATGCCGGAACCGTTACTAGTTACCGGCCTCTTGTGGCTTGGTATGCCATGACACTTGAGGCGGGAACCAGCCAACTGTCTCCATAGACAGACACATCAGCTATCCAGGAAGTACTGTTTTAAATGTAAGAAACACTATAAATTTCGGGTCAAAATAAAAACAAACTCAAAATTCATAGCGTTTCTTAGCTTTAAAACAGTACTTTCTGGATAGCTGATGTGTCTGTCTATGGAGACAATGGGGTTTCTATACATACTGGCCTCTTAGTTCCTCTGAAACAGGAAGTGTTTGAGGGCGCTCGACTTATGAAGGGGTCTATACCGGTAATGTGCATATATTCGTGTTCACACTGCGTCCAAGTACCAATACCGTACAGTAGCACATGCACTGACATAAACTACAGAGGTGTTTCTATTGTCAAAATAAGTGATCTTTTAACAATTCGTCTTACAACAAATACAAATGGAGGTTTATATGACTTACACAGAAAATGCGCTTTCATTAAAGTAATTACAATAACCCAATATTACAGTTAAATATGACCAGCTTTCCAATCTGACTGCCAAGCCAGGCTTCTATAAAAACTGTTCTAATTAAAAGAATACCCCTTTCCCACCAAAAATCAGCTTGTATAAATGTATAGAAAAAATATCCCTCCCCTTTCTCCCACCAAAAATGAATGTCTTTATATTACAGATGAGAAAACCCAGTTTTAATTTTTCATTTGGAACTTTTCATTAACTACTCATGTTACAGGGGTGAGCAGGTTGTATTTAGAGGGACTGGAAGTTACAGGATATTACATTTCCATGAGAAACCGGATGATTTCTTTGACTGCGTGTCAACGACCTTGACGCCTTGGTTCCTGGGGTTTGGGCTTGATTCCTGTAAGAGATAAATAACACAAACTATCAGTGACACTACAGTAGTAACATGTAAAGTGCAGAAAACTTAAAGCTCTGGTCACTACTCTGTCATCGTCCGCCTGCACGATGTTGGTCCGTTTGGACATTCCTCCCTCTAAACACCGTGTGGTAATTCTATTCATAACCGTGGATGGTTGTTGACACCCCCCTGAACAGCGTAACAAGATTACCCCTACATATGCAAAATATTTAAATTTAAATTTTCTCGATTTAAAATATTTTCACCGGTTCTTCGATAGGTGTTTCACAGCAGCTCGCGCAGAGCTCATAAAAATACATAATAGAGTGGTGCTAGTCTTAAATAGCAACGTGGAGCGTCTTTGTGACTTAGCTCCACCGCAAAGATTTTGATAGCTTGGCCAAGCGCATTGAAGAAAGAAACAATATGATTGGTTGTTGGTAAACTGATTCTAAACTGTGAGGGCATTGTCACATAGTCCTAATGAAATACTTCAAGGTGATAGTGGAGTGCTTCGCCATAACATTCACCTTGAAAATTCAAGATGCCATACTGTGTGAAAACAGCATTGCTAAACAGTGACAGGGTTCTCCCCAGAAAAAATGCAGAGCGCCGGGGCTAATTTGCATAATAATTTGCATATCATTTACATATCTTTCCTTCATTGATTAACAG